GATAAAGATGACTTTGAAGGCAAGCAATTCTTGCAAAGCGTCAATGCGGCCGATTCGAGCGTGCGGGAGCATGGTGAGTCTACAAGGTGTATGCCAAAGTGGGAAGTGGGAAGTGGGGCCCGCAATTTTTTTTTTGCATTTTTTTTTTCTTGCGCTCGAGCTTGCATGCCCACGCTCATCAAAGAGGCTAGAAAGTGCTGAACATGCTCTGTATGTTTCCCCCCTCCCCGCGCTCTCTGCCACATCCCACAGCCGACAACAAGACGCTCTCTTTGCTCTCTTATCACCAAGCTCTTGCTACTTACGGCAAATTTGCGGGTGAAGCTACCTCTTCTTCTTCTTTTGGCCTGGACGGCAGCACTGATGCTGCTGCGGCAGTCTCGTCGGCCGATACAGGGACGGATCATGTGAAGCGAGGATATGGACATAGAGATGATGATGGGAGGATGAGCAAGAGGGCTAGAGGAAGAGAAGAAAATCGCAAGAGGATAGAGAGAGCTCATGCGGATGTGAATGCAGCAGCAGCTGCTGCTGCTGCTGCTGCTGCGCAAGCCAATCAGCCTCGCAATCACAGTGCTGCAGCAGCGGGGAGATAGCCAACCGCTTTGCAAACTTGTCAATTGCATGAGAGTCACGAGTGTGTGTGCCTTTGCGTCTATGTTTTTGCCTCTCTGACCGCTTCCCTCGCGCTGTGTCGAACATGATGGTGCGCTGACGACTTGGATGCGTCCATTGCTCGTGGTGATGCAGCGCTCGTCTAGCTGTGAGCTGTGAGCGTCTTGTCTAATGCGTGCCGGGGCGCGCGCGACGTACATCTATCTCTCTCTTGGCCGCGAGAGACCTCGATCCGCACCAAGCTCACTTCTTCCAATCTCCAGCGCTGGCAGTGCGGCTGGCATTCTGCACGCTAGCATCGCGCCCTGTTGCCGGTCCTTTTTCAGCATTGCGCGGCGAGCTCGTTCCATCCCTCGTAGCTCGACGTTTGGGGGCATAAGAGCGCTTGTAAAAGTCGACGAAGAGCAAGAGGTAGGAGGTCAAGACTGCCATGCCTGCCCAAGCTGCGTATTCCCTGCCTGCGCAATCTCCGCAAGTCAGAGCTCGGAAATTCCACTTCCAAGCATAGTGTTGCCAAGATGCAAAGTAGACGATCTGAAAAGCAAAAGGCGTGGAATGGAGTTGGGGTGGGGGTTGGCAAGTCAGCGACCCGTGCCCCCCGCTTCAGAGATGTGTCTGGCTCGCACTCACGATCAGGTCGATGACGAATTGCGTGATTTGCGCAATCGTCACTAGGCGCTTCCATGG